GTTAACATTGATTATAAAACAACTGTGATAAAAAGTAATACAATTGTGATTGATAGACAGTTTTAAAACCAATTTTCAGCGAATGTTTATGAATTATTAGGGTTTTCATTACGAACTGACAGAAACTAAAGTTCAAGAATTGATTTCGCACCAAAATCTGCTAGGTTTGTCTATATATTTTGTGTATGCCATGTCAACATAACTCGTGTCACTTACTAAAAAACAAAAAAACACGAGTTTAAAAATCCTTTGTTTCTAAAAGAAGCAGACAAACCCCTTGACTCCTTAGTTGCTTTCTGCTAAATTTGGAGTTAATATGGTTGTTCTCATAAGTAAGGTTTTGTACTCGACTTTGCGACACTTTGTAGGGGATTTTGATTTTATCCTATCTTTGAAACTATTTTAGAGTGGGGTTCGAACCTATGACGTTTAGATTTAGTGATTACAGTAGCCATAATTACTATAGCTTTAGAATTAATTACTACAACCACTTATCCATACATCAAGTGCGTCTTGGTTTCCCTGGTTCATCTTGGAAACACTAGTTGAGCCTTACGTCACAAGGCTTAATACAGGTTGCTTAAAAATCCTAAATAAATATTTATCAATACTCTTCAAAGTTTTCCGGAGGAATCACGATGTTCAAATCCCCAAGTAGTAGCTACTTCATTGTCTTTCGTATCTCAAAAATCCTTTGAAGGTGCTGTTGGAGTTTACAGCTACCTACAAAAAAAATCACCAGATTAATCTTTCCTGAATGTGTCTGTTATCATTAACTACTATTAACTTATCTGACGATAAGTTCATCTAAGCTTGGATGATTCTTTAATTTATTGTTATCTTCAGGTGGGCATTATACATGATCTTTACGATTTAGTCCATCTATAACTATCAGATGAACTTAAATTTTACTGCTTAGTAATTTCCTGAAGGGTATCTTATTATCTATCACTTTGACTCGTTCGTCAAAAAATTATTCACTAAATCGCTATTTTATTTACTATTTATTTGAACACAAATATTGGTACAAGATGGCACCAAATATATATGCGCCAAACAAGACAATGAAAAAAAAGAACAATAACGAACAGATTAGTGTAAGGTAGAGTAATAATAATAATAGAGGAAACTGAAAGGTACAATCAGAAGAAATCTTTTAGTTAAGGAAGATACAACCACATTTTATGAAGGAAGTAAAAGAAAGTTACAGTAAAATCGCCACTGGCTTCTATTCTGAGCCATGTCTGATAACGTCTCTAGCGACTGTGTTACACCATCACTCGGACCCCAACCAGAGAGTCGTGAAGGACCAACAGAAGCCAGTCCCGTATACCTTCCTTTCATACCACGACACCATGTCATAAAACCGAGTGTATGAACCTCTACTTAGTAAAACGATTTGCATTTCCTGTAATTATTTCTATGGTAACCGTTAATGTACGACTCAGCCTGTGTGAATCAGCTGGGCTACTGAATAACAACGAATGGCGACTGGATTCTTATTAATCCATGTTATTCTTTAACATCTAAGCCTCTAAAATCTGAGGAATTAAATAAACTGAAGAACATATGTCCTACGTTTTTGAAAAAAATATTGAGGTGCTGAGATTATGGATATTTGTAGAGCAATCAGTAGGAGTTGCTCAGAAAACCAGCCACTTATATTCCGAACATTACTGAGTCGAAATTCAAGCCTTTTCTGTGTAGCTTAAAGTCCATTTAAATATATTCCATTCGAAACAAGGGATTTTCCAAAAACCCATTTCACCATTAATTAATTATTTATTCATTTGAACACATAAATGTTGGTACAAGCGGGCACCAGATACATATGCGCCACACAATAATAATGAAAATGGGAAGAGATAAAGGATGTAAGGTGCGTGTACAAAGAAAAAACAAACAATAACGACCACAAATTGGTATACGGTAATGAAACAGTAGCAATAATAGGGGAAATAGAAAGGTACAACCAAAAAGAATTCTTTCAGTTAAAGAAGTTACGGTCAATTTTTATGAAGAAAGTAAAAGAAGGTTACAACAGGATCACGTCTCTAACCACCGTGTTGCACCATCTCTCGGACCCCAACCAGAGAGTCGTGAAGGACCAACAGAAGCCAGCCCTTTGCAGCTTCCTTTCATACCACGACACCATGTCATAACACTGACCACCTCTCCGCATTTTCTGACCAGTCCCAGCGTCGTCGAGTAATGCACGACGTGGAATTCGCTAATACGACACTCGAAGAACATGTCGAAGCCACCGAAGTCGGTGTTTCAAGATAGTGACACCAATTGGATTATCGTCTCTGTGCCCGAACACATGATGCTGAATTTCTGCATTACTAACATGATGTTGCCACTGGCTGTCAGCGATCCTTCGGAGACAGCGATGATCGAACACAGATAGTCGTGTAACATCCTCAACTCGGAGAGACCAGATTTCACAAGCATAGAGCAGAACTGCTCTCACCGACGCGTTGTAGATCCGACCGTTTACAGCCAGACTAACATCACGAAGGCGCCAAAGATGGACCAGATTGGCATAAGTCGCTCACACCCAGACTTCTTGATGCCTGTGGCTCGGATGAGTTGGAAGAGCTTCCGGTAGTTACCAGATGCAGCTGCTGCTTCCAAATCATTAGCACGCTACGACCACCAGGTTTCTCGGTCCTTACGCAAGCTTTGCCCAATTTCCTTACGTAACATCCTTCGTTTATGGTCATACTCACGGTCACCCGGAGTAGACCGACGGGCTTCAATGAGTTATAAGGAACCTGCAGAAACCCAGTGCTTATAAGCGGGGTGTTTCGCGAACCCACAACTGACTGTACCCGCCATTTTCATGGCGTCATGCAATTGCAACCAATGCTCATCTATACTTTTCGGTGGAGTGGTAGCTAGCCTAGAGGCTAGCTCGGTTCGATACTTACTTGCAACAGAAGTTGCAACCAGCTTGCTAATATCAATCCGTTGATGGCGGTCACTTCGTTGTCCACTGAAAAGTAAGGTAAGATTGGCGCAGACCAGGACATGATCAGAGTCCAGATAGGTACTCCAAAAGGAGCGGCAGTCTTGTACACAACCACGCCAGCGGTAGCTGATCGCGATGTGATCAATCTGAGTTCAAGTTTGAGATGCAGAGACAGGACTCTAGGTGGCACATCGGTGATGACTGTGCCGAAAGTTAGTGCTAGCGAGAAACAGGTTGTGGTCTGTGCACAGTTGCAGTAGACGGTCCCGGTTATCTGTCCTGCGACCAACAAGTCCCCATCGGCCACCTAAACGACTGTCTTCTGTGCCTAGACGCCCTACCTGAGCATTCAAGTCTCCGGCTAGTACTACAATATCTGTCGAACGCACTTAGTGCTTAGTGCGACACCAACTCCTGCAAGACCAGACGAAGATGCCACAGGGTCCCCGGATAAACGAACGTGAAACAAGCTTTTTGAAGTGACAGATGTAGAGCGAATTTGTAGTACTTCACCAGAGTCTTGAATACGGGTCTCGGATAGACAGTAAACGTCGATATTAAGACTTTGCAAAGTTATAGCCAACCCTATTTGTTGTCCGACCTGCATAAGTGTGCGAACGTTGAAGGCAGCTAGTTTGAGTGGTGCATGTGGTTTCAGAAAAATTGCTTCAGTATTCGTATTTGGTGGTAGCATACAATTTTCCACCAGGTAGTGACTCGAGGACGTTTAGATAGAACCGAGTTTCCACCATAGGCGAGTCGCTGTATAATTCGAAAAATAAGGATACATAAAGTGGGAATAAAAGAGAGTGGATAAGTGACGTGGTAAATTGCTATCGGGACATAGACTAGATTAAAGCATGCTCAATGCATGATTGTTTTGGTGCACGCTGATTGGCTGATTCTTATCCAATCAGCACTAGTCGATAGTCGGAGAATACTTTGGAATCTTCTTATGTAAAAACTATAAATAAACCGACGTTTTCCCCTATTGTGTTTCCTACTGGCTTCTGACTTGCTATTTGGAATATAATCTTTTTCCTGTTCAACCGTGTTCTGATTTGGGGACTTGTCGAGTGAATCGGTGTCCGAGAATACTAAGCAATAAGAATAGCTGGGTCATTAACCGTAAGAAAAGACAGAGTTATAACATAAATAATAATAATGTGAATTGTTTGACTGTCAATTGAGGCGTGAATAGAATTTTCAGTAAATATAATCATTTTCACCTTCAATTTATCTGTGTGTGGGCTGTGATACTGCCCAGATGCCCAGACCGAAGCAGGTGGTTATCTTAGGGGGCCACTCCCCGAGCCTTTGACCTAAAGGTCTGATCTACAAGGCAGTGGAACATCGTGAGGAGATGCAGTTCCTTGGTGGCCGGTGACCAACGATTGGTTCATCACATACGCTATTTGTTCCCCCAGGATACTGGAACCCATGAACACTATTGATTTCGTTTGGGATCAGGTTAAAGCGCCGGGCATTCCCTTTTCGTCTCCTCATTTTCGTAAACGACACCTGATCGCAAGAAGGTAGTGAGTAGGACTTTCTGGCAGTAGCTGTCTATGTGAGGCCATGTGAAATCATTTGTAGAGAGAACGCGATCTCTCCCCACCTTCGGTAGTACCAGGATTTCGGGGGCCAATTGAATTGTTAAAGATAGTGAAGTTACAAGCTTTATTTAGTATAGAGTATGTTATATCGTTACAATAAAGCTGGACATGCCATCAAGTTTAAAACAGGGTTACCCATCACTTCGTCGAAGAGTTGAAGCTAGGTTGTTTTATTGATATTATAACAATGAATAGAAGGTGTTGATGCCGTTTTCCGTGGTATTCGTTGTCTGGTTTAAGATGTGTTTACCCATCCGTAACATTTGTTTTTATCCACATACTTTCATTAGGTTTTTCTATTGAGCTGTTTTTACTGAAATGCGCTTTATGATTTACATTTGTTTCAGAGGTTACGTTATTTTGAATTGGAAATATTGACGCGCATTTAACTTTTGCTGTGTTTGCAATCAATGGTTGAAATCAGAGATTTACCTCAGGATTTATTTTATCAAATTTGCTCTTATTTGCGGATTAACGATCTTATTGCACTATGTTCTGTGTGTGCACAATTTTGTCACTGGTTACATCGGCAGTCGTATTGGAAATGGCGCTCGCAAAGTCTTTGGAATGGAACTTACCCTTGTTTACCAGGTTATTTGGTTTGTGTATTCTGATCTGTACAAAATGTAGAGAAGATCATAGACTGGGCATCGGCAAGTTTTGAACGAGAAAAGTGCTGTATAAACTTCGGGGAAAATTCAGTTGATTGCATTCGCCTATCCAAGTTGAACGTGGTCAGCCACGGGATAGACGCTTTACATATTCCCCTGGTATCCATTGAGATTTTTTTGATAATCTTAATTCCAGAAACATCCAGATTTACTTATAATGGGTGATAGAGGTCGAGTGGTGTCAATATTTTCATTCAAGGCTGGATTGTTTTCTAATTCATGGCTTCCTGTATTCACTGAATATCATAGTCATTCCGTAAGTTTTTTTCAAGTAGTCATTATTTTGATTAATAATTTCATATGATTTAAGATACCTTACACAATCCAACAACTACTTGAAATATAAAATATTAGCTTTATTCTCTTCATGCGACTGAATAATTTAACGATGAGGCACATACACTGCTAAGCACTTATAAATATTATTCCATGTTTGATAGTTGAGTGAACTTCGTAGGAAAACACAGGTATATATTTCTTTTTTTACGTTGTCTTTAGTATGTGTTCAGAGAGTATAATTTAGTATTTTTTTAAATCATCTGTAGTATTTATTTATTTATTTGAACACATAAATATTGGTACAAGAGAGCGCCAATATACATGCGCCACGCAAAACAATGAGAATTCGAAGAGAAATAGAAAAAAAGAGAACAATAACGAAGAGATTGGTGTAAGGTAGTGTGGTAGTAATGAGGGAACGCAAAGTTACAATCGCAAGAAATCTTTCAGCTAAGAGAGACACAACCACTTTTTATGAAGAAAGTAAAAGAAGGTTACAGCAGGATCGCCACTGGCTTCTATTCTGAGCCATATCTGATAACGTCTCTAACCACCGTGTTGCACCATCTCTCGGACCCCAACCAGAGAGTCGTGAAGGACCAACAGAAGCCAGCCCTTTGCAGCTTCCTTTCATACCACGACACCATGTCATAACACTGACCACCTCTCCGCATTTTCTGACCAGTCCCAGCGTCGTCGAGTAATGCACGACGTGGAATTCGCTAATACGACACTCGAAGAACATGTCGAAGCCACCGAAGTCGGTGTTTCAAGATAGTGACACCAATTGGATTATCGTCTCTGTGCCCGAACACATGATGCTGAATTTCTGCATTACTAACATGATGTTGCCACTGGCTGTCAGCGATCCTTCGGAGACAGCGATGATCGAACACAGATAGTCGTGTAACATCCTCAACTCGGAGAGACCAGATTTCACAAGCATAGAGCAGAACTGCTCTCACCGACGCGTTGTAGATCCGACCGTTTACAGCCAGACTAACATCACGAAGGCGCCAAAGATGGACCAGATTGGCATAAGTCGCTCACACCCAGACTTCTTGATGCCTGTGGCTCGGATGAGTTGGAAGAGCTTCCGGTAGTTACCAGATGCAGCTGCTGCTTCCAAATCATTAGCACGCTACGACCACCAGGTTTCTCGGTCCTTACGCAAGCTTTGCCCAATTTCCTTACGTAACATCCTTCGTTTATGGTCATACTCACGGTCACCCGGAGTAGACCGACGGGCTTCAATGAGTTATAAGGAACCTGCAGAAACCCAGTGCTTATAAGCGGGGTGTTTCGCGAACCCACAACTGACTGTACCCGCCATTTTCATGGGGTCATGCAATTGCAACCAATGCTCATCTATACTTTTCGGTGGAGTGGTAGCTAGCCTAGAGGCTAGCTCGGTTCGATACTTACTTGCAACAGAAGTTGCAACCAGCTTGCTAATATCAATCCGTTGATGGCGGTCACTTCGTTGTCCACTGAAAAGTAAGGTAAGATTGGCGCAGACCAGGACATGATCAGAGTCCAGATAGGTACTCCAAAAGGAGCGGCAGTCTTGTACACAACCACGCCAGCGGTAGCTGATCGCGATGTGATCAATCTGAGTTCAAGTTTGAGATGCAGAGACAGGACTCTAGGTGGCACATCGGTGATGACTGTGCCGAAAGTTAGTGCTAGCGAGAAACAGGTTGTGGTCTGTGCACAGTTGCAGTAGACGGTCCCGGTTATCTGTCCTGCGACCAACAAGTCCCCATCGGCCACCTAAACGACTGTCTTCTGTGCCTAGACGCCCTACCTGAGCATTCAAGTCTCCGGCTAGTACTACAATATCTGTCGAACGCACTTAGTGCTTAGTGCGACACCAACTCCTGCAAGACCAGACGAAGATGCCACAGGGTCCCCGGATAAACGAACGTGAAACAAGCTTTTTGAAGTGACAGATGTAGAGCGAATTTGTAGTACTTCACCAGAGTCTTGAATACGGGTCTCGGATAGACAGTAAACGTCGATATTAAGACTTTGCAAAGTTATAGCCAACCCTATTTGTTGTCCGACCTGCATAAGTGTGCGAACGTTGAAGGCAGCTAGTTTGAGTGGTGCATGTGGTTTCAGAAAAATTGCTTCAGTATTCGTATTTGGTGGTAGCATACAATTTTCCACCAGGTAGTGACTCGAGGACGTTTAGATAGAACCGAGTTTCCACCATAGGCGAGTCGCTGTATAATTCGAAAAATAAGGATACATAAAGTGGGAATAAAAGAGAGTGGATAAGTGACGTGGTAAATAATAATAATGTGAATTGTTTGACTGTCAATTGAGGCGTGAATAGAATTTTCAGTAAATATAATCATTTTCACCTTCACTTTATTTGTGTGTGGGCTGTGATACTGCCCGGATGCCCAGAATGAAGCAGGTGGTTATCTTAGGGGGCCACTCCCCGAGCCTTTGACCTTAATGGGACCGTCTACTGCAAGTTTGCACAGAACACAACCTGTTTTATCGCTAGCACTAACTTTCGGCACAATCAACGCCGATGTGCCACCTAGCGTCCTGTCTCTGCATCTCAAGCCTGAACTCAGATTGATCACATCGCAATCAGCTACCGCTGGCGTGGCATGCAATCCGCACTTAATCAGTTGGCAATCAGTATCCGTAGGTATGGTATGTGCTTTGCACCTTCCAAGTGCAAAGCACTTCTACAAGACTGGCAGGATTCCAATCCTGTACTCACCCTGGATGGTGAGCAGATAGACGTAGTCGAGAAGTTCGTGTATCTGGGTAGCTGCATAAGTGCTGGTGAGGGTGTGAGTGATGAGATCAATGCACATATAGTGAAAGCCAGAGCGGCTTATGCCAATCTGGTCCATCTCTGGCGCCTTCGTGATGTTAGTCTGGCTGTAAACGGTCGGATCTACAACGCGTCGGTGAGAGCAGTTCTGCTCTATGCTTGTGAAATCTGGTCTCTCCGAGTTGAGGATGTTACACGACTATCTGTGTTCGATCATCGCTGTCTCCGAAGGATCGCTGACAGCCAGTGGCATTACTCGACGACGCTGGGACTGGTCAGAAAATGCGGAGAGGTGGTCAGTGTTATGACATAGTGTCGTGGTATGAAAGGAAGCTGCAAAGGGCTGGCTTCTGTTGGTCCTTCACGACTCTCTGGTTGGGGTCCGAGAGATGGTGCAACACAGTGGCTAGAGACGCTATGAGAAATGACTCTGAATAGAAGGAGTGGCGATCTTGCTGTTACCTTCGTTTACTTCCTTCATAAAAAGTGGTTGTATCGTCTCTGTGTGATTTCTTCTGATTGTACCTTTCTGTTTCCTCTATTGTTATTATTATTATTATTATTATTATCATTTTTATTATTGCACTACCTTATACTAATCTGTTTGTTATTGTTTTTTTACTTTTACGCTCCTTACTTTCCTTTTTTCTCTTACGATTCTCATTGTTTTGTGTGGCGCATATATTTGGTGCCTACCTGGACAATTCTTCATGTGTTCAAATAAATAAATACTTCATTTAATTTGATAATTATATTTCAGGGTTGGATATGGACTATCAATTCAACAGATGATTCTGTCATAACAGGTTCATGGGATGGTGCTTTAAGAGTTTGGAAGTTGACAAATTCTGGCCTCGCATTCCAGTCAATTTATCAGTAAGTGCTACGAAAAGTAAATGATAATAGGTTGTTTTTTATAGTCACTTTGTTCCTTTATTATGATTTTTTTTAGTTTTTTACATCATAAAAAGTCAGCTTGAGCATAGTACTTGAAGTTAGTACAATCTAATCATCTGAGTGCATTCTGTGTTTAGCTACTGTCAGATAAGTTTTTTTAATCCACTGTGCTTTATTATTGTTTATTTTATGCCAACACGTTTTGAAAGTATCACGTTTTGCAATTTATGATCTAAAAGTTATATTGCACAGATTGATTAGTAAATGTTACTTGTTGGTTAGCACAATTGGGTTAATAGGAGTGTTTATTACCTTTTAAGATAAATATAACTGCTCATAAATTTGTATTATCCCTTATCATCGCATTACTGTTCTATTGAATCTTTGTAGTAGACGATAGTGCGTTTTGTCCATTCATTTACTACCTACAGATTAGGAACTCCTGTACTGTGTTCAAGCTTTTTGGATTCTAATACTTTGGCAGTTGGTACACATGATCGAAATGTTTATCTATTGGATATACGTTCGTTTGAACAAAATCCATCGAATCGTTTGTGTCATAAAAACGCTGTTCTTTGCATAGATGCTATATATGAAAATGGTTTGCGTTCAGCTGTTTCAAGAAGCTGTACTTCTATGAAAAACTGTATTAGTGGTAGCGGTGATAACTGTGACCAGATATGTGTAGAATATGATTATCATTCAGAGTTGTCATCTGTAACAGCAAGTGAAGAAAATTTTGAAGACTGTATGATTGATCCATTTGAAATGGAAACTGTTGTACTGGACAGTCGTGAACCCAGTCCTGTATCATTTCCCGCAAAGTGTAATTCAGACGAAATAAGTTGTGACCAACTGAATATACAAACTAATTCACCACCTACTGACCTAAACCATTCGCCAAAACAATCATTTTCTAACGTTCACCTAATCACTGGCAGCAGTGATCAATATATTGCTGGTTGGGATATGAGAAATTTTTCTCAACCGGTTCACAAACACAAGGTGAGAAATATCTTCCATTTCATCATAACAGTTTCTTTGCTATTGACTGGTTAAAAAACTTTCCTAATATGCTGTAATGGTAGCTCAGTCCGTGCACTTGATGTCGAACATCAGGTTCGCCATTTTAGTTACGAGTCAAATACTCTTAGAACAAAAATAGAAGTCCTAGTGATCAAATAAGATTCATTTTTATCTCAATAATTGAATGTTTTATCGTCGTGCCTTGCAAAGAAAACAGATTGGTTTTTAATATAGTAAACGATTGGGTCGATAATTTAGCATTTCACCCATCGTAGCCGATGTTTTGTCTCAAATTTAAAATAAGGATTTAAGGATTGATGTCACGAAAATCATTCAACCAGATTAAACCTGAAGGTTGATATTATATAAATTAATTCTCAGTCGCAGTAACACATGTACTGTGATTATTTTTATTTAATTCTAGATTTTAGAGTAGTGGTTAAATTATGTTGGGCTTATTAGGATGTTGATTACTTTTACATTCGAATTTCTATCCAGCACATTTTAGTTTTCATGCATCTAACAATTGAATAAGCATGAATTGGAATGACAAATTTCCATCACAAAACTTTGCCGAAATGATGTCATGATTTAATTGATGAGTGTCATGAAATCCTCATAATAAATTGACGCAGCGTAAGCCCGACCGATTCTACCTAATAAGCCGATAAAAAGAGTACACACAGTTGGGTTGAAATAAATTATCGTTCTACAAGTGACAGCTAACATAACGCAGTACCAGTTGCGATTTATGCTAATTTCAAATATTAGTGAACACACTAACTAGGAGATGTTTATTGTGGATTCCACTTCTATTAGTCGAAACTATATTCTTTAATTTCACTAGACAGTTTATCTCAATGTTTCATTCACTCAAATTCATTCTCACTTCCTGTTGTTATTTCTTCCATGATCTCATGTTGTGTTGTTCATAACGATTTCGCATTATGAATAAGATCCACCAATCTTTTGGAGCCAGTCGCAACTTGGAACCTAGTACGTATTTACATCGTTTCAAATCCCTACTCCCCATTAGCCCAGCGAGATGAAATTCTTAGAGTGAATTCTAGAAAAGTGGAGGTGGTAACATTATTATTGCTGATAGAAGTGGTCAGGCGTCGAAAATATGATTCAAAAAAGTACAAATTAGGGGGGTCATGAGGAATTCAGAAGCTTAGAATCTGAAGGAAGACAAATAGTGGATGGACTTGTGCTATTTCCAACGATTTTGAGATATGTCGTTGAAAGTCTCTGACCACTGGTTGTGATTATCATGCGAATCCCAACTACATAGTCTACACCCCGACCGAAGCTGCTACCTTGACGCGGTGGTCGGGCTTGCCTATCGTGATGACTCAACCGAGCTATATTGGCTGGAACATATGTTCCTGTAGGTTCTACCATGCCAGGCAGGTCGATTGGTGAACGGTAAGACTAAAAGCAGCAACTCAAGGTCTGAGGGCGAAGTCGTACTGCTGACTGCAGAGAGGTGTGACAGCAGTAAAGTGTTTCCCTCGGACAACCAGCATGACAGCGATGCTGCCTTCCCACAAGGAGGGGTGGGGTTAGAAAAGGTCGACCCTAAAAATGTCACACCTCACCTTACCTCACGGATTTCCGTCTCCGGCGGTAAGGCCCTTTGAAGAACGGAGCTAACACATTAAAAACCTTCCACAAAAAGGTCGTGCGCGACCGGCCTCAAGCAGTTGTCCCTTGGGCTCCAAAGTTGTCAAGACCAACACTAATCCAATTTCCTTTCCAGGTTCCTCAAGAAATACCCTTCCACGGTGTGGGCAGCCGCAAGTGACATCAGCCCTCATACCCGTAACTGCACACGAGACCAAGTTGGTCACATTCAAATCCTTCCTACACCTCCTAATACCTCTCTTATCTCCTCGACTAACCCTCCTCACGTCTCTTTATCACCTCGCACCGCTAGGGCAAACGATTCGAGTACGTGGAAGACTATTCCTGGTCTCCTGAAACCACGCTCTAAACTACACGTAGGAGCTTTTAACGTACGAACACTTTGCCAAATAGGACAGCAGGCTTCCTTAGCTAGGACTTTAGAATCTCGCGCCATCGATGTGTGCTGCGTCTCCGAAACGCATATACAGGATCCGAGTAGCGTCATTCATTTGACCTCACCATGCCAAAATAAAGAACCGACTCGATTTACGCTTCGTGTATCTGGAAGCCCTGATTCTGCTTCCCGTGGCCTCGCCGGCGTAGGTATAGCATTGAGTCCTAAGGCAGAACTAGCTCTCTTAGAGTGGGTCCCAGTAGACAGTCGTTTGTGCGCTGTCCGACTAAACGGAAGTGTAAGGATTCGAAAAGATAGGGACACTCGTCGTTTCTGCCTATTCTCCCACTGACTGCAGCTCAGATGATGTAAAAGATGAGTTTTACAGAAAGCTTTCGGACCTTCTCCGAAAAGCTAAGCGCTCGGATGTAGTAATAGTGGCCGGTGACTTTAATGCTCAAGTAGGTAAACTAAGCGATAGAGAAAGACACCTAGGTGGATCTTATAGCATCGTGGCTCAAAGAACAGATAATGGCGACCGTCTGTTGCAGCTATGCTCATATAACCGCCTGTTCCTTGCAAATACTAACTTTAAGCATAAGGAAAAACATCTTTTAACATGGCGACCCCCTAATTCGTCCCAACGTTGGACCCAAATAGATCACATCGCTATCAGCTACCGATGGAGGGGCTCGTTAGAAGACAGTCGCTCATTCTGGAGCACATGCTTAGATTCAAATCATGCTCTAGTACGAGCGCGTATCTGTCTGCGTCTTACTGGACGTAAGAAAGATGCTGCGAGGAAACCTCTTACGGTCCTGTTTAATGATAGTCAAACTAAGAGTATATTTCAGTAACAACTAGGAAAACATTTAGGCAGCCATGTATGTGATGCCCACCCCGATGCAGCATGGAATGATATCCGAAAAGCTGTGGAAACAGCAGTGATATCTGCTAGTAAGGTAAACCAGAAGGTTAGGGAGCAACACTGGATCTCAGCAGCATCTATCGCACTGATAGATGTTCGGAAACTCATTCCACCTGGCTCTGAACATAATTAGGAGCGTAGTCAGCTTAAGCGCAAGCTGACAAGAAGTCTACGCAATGATCGCGAACAGTGGTGGGTAGCGAAAGCAAGAGAGATGGAAAAGGCAGCGGCAACAGGTAATAGCAGACAATTGTTCAGACTCGTTAGGGAAACCGGTATTAGGAACCCGATTGTTAGCGAAACAATCTCAGAGAAAGATGAACATATTATACATTCTCAATTCAGGAGATTGGATCGATGGGCAGAACACTACGGATCAGTTCAACTGGCCTTCAGCCACACTTCGGTTTCCCACGATCTCTAGTCAACCTGAATGGCAAGTTAATGTAGGTCCTCCGACTCTTTACTAAGTTGAAAAAGCCATAGGAAATCTGAAACGAGGGAGAGCAGCAGGTCCTGACAGGTTTACTCCTGAGATTTTTAAGTATGGTGGTCCAGTATTAGCAATGAGATTAACCGAGGTCTTAGGTAGAATTTGGGAACTGGACGTAATCCCATCTGACTGGACTCAATCACTGATTGTGCCAGTCTATAAGAAAGGACAAAAGTCCTCTTGTGACAATCACAGAGGAATCAGTTTGACCAATATAGTGTCTAAAATATTAGCTTCAATAATACTTCGACGCCTAACTAAAGCTCGTGAAGAGCAGACTAGAGAAAACCAGGCTGGTTTTCTACCTGGACGTGGTTGTATAGACCAGATATTCACGCTACGTCAGGTTCTAGAACACAGACACACATTCAGACGCCCCGCAATGGTAGTATTTCTCGGACTTAAGGAGGCATTCGACTCTGTTGATCGTGAGGTTCTATGGCAGTGTTTGTCACTGAAAGGAGTACCAAAGAAGTACATTAACCTTATAAAGGCTCTCTACTCGAACACAACTGGTAGAGTGAGAGCTTATGGCGAACTGTCATCAGAATTGATTACCTCAAGTGGTGTTCGTCAGGGCTGTCCACTCTCCCCATTCTTGTTCAACTTTGTCATTGACGTGCTTCTAGAGATAACACTTGCCTCGTCTAAATTTCCAGAGGTTGAACTTCTACCGGGAGTTTCACTTGTTGACTTGGAATATGCTGATGACATAGTTCTATTTGGTGAAGACGCTGACAAAATACCGAGTCTTCTGATACGGGATACGATTTTCTCCCTCGAAATGTAAAATGTTGCATCAGGATTGGGTTACATCGACACCCGAACTAGTGATAGGGAGTGAAGTAGTTGAGTGTGTCGACTGCTTCACTTATCTTGGAAGTCTCATCAGCCCTTGTGGTCTGGTGTGTGACGAAATCTCAGCACGGATACAGAAGGTTCAACTAGCTTCTGCCAACTTGCTTCATTTATGGAGTAGGCAAGATATCCGTCTATCAACTAAAGGACGTGTTTACTGCGCAGCAGTTCGTTCCATCCTACTTTATGGCAGTGAAACATGGCCGGTAAGAGTAGAGGATATTCATAGGTTACTAGTATTTGATCATAGGTGGCACAAGTCCATGAAGTCACTGACAAGTGAACTGAGTCATGTTGGTAGGTGTAAACTACCTGATTGGGGACCGCGAGATGATAGCAACCGATGGTTAGAGACCCTGAATGACATGGCTCAAAATCGTTTGCAATGGCGCAGGTGCATCTACTCTCTGTGTTCTCCCAAATTCTAATCTTCTAAATTCTTCATGTCACTTTTTTCCTCTTTCCAAATTTATTTCACTGTATTATACTCTTTAAATAACATCTCCAAACACTAATTTTCCTGATTACTGCTTATACTCTTATTACCTCTACCACTACGGGATTTGAATCGACAAGTGCATCTCTGTGCTAATGTGGCGTGGCAACTCGAACTGATGTACGTACGTACGAAGTTCTACGTTGTTGCTGACTGACTGACTTAGGTAGTCTACGCCCATTGATATGGCTCATTCCGATTGTCAGTGACTTCATGGACTGATAATACGTTTTGACTCGGCCGCCCCTAACTTTCTTCCAGCCCGCTTCTAGACGAGAAAACACTCTCCGTCGAGATTGGGGATACGTAACACATGTCTCAAACACCTCATTTGATGAAGATTTACTAACCTATCTATCGATTTATCATATTTATCTGGTGTCTTATTCCTAACCAGGTATTGTTTACTTAGGTGGTTCTGAAAATTCACGAGCAAAGCTTCGTATGACCTACGAATGCCCTCTCTTTTTAATGATCATGTTTCACACTCATAAAGTAAAATAAATCAAACTGCTGCACAGTAAATTCATTCTTTAGTTGATATGTTTTACTCCCCAACACCACATGTGATAGAAGTTGGAAAAAGTCAATCGCGCTTTCTAAATCCATGTACAGATTTTGTTAGACACCGTGTCATTAGGACTGATAAGACTACCAAGACAAGTGAAGCTGTTGATACGCTCAAGTACTTCAATCAGCATTCACTAGAAGTTCTGCCAAAAACATCTAGAAAATGAAAAGTCGCATGCCGAGTTTCTGATTGGATAAATACTCATACTTCTACTATGTTAATAGCATTCCAGAATTTTCCGAAAACCCAAGGACATCTAAAATAATATAAAAACCCTAGATTTTCTGTACAAAAACGAACCTTTGGAGTAAAGCGTTTACTTCCATGTTTCGCGCTTTTTCTCTCGTGTTCGAGTCGCTGTGTAGATTTAGTCTGGGCGTTACTAGAAGAGCTTAAGAAGCGAATCTAGTGTTCAATTGGAAGAAATATCATTAATATACCTCTCTGATACACCTTTTAGCGTCAAACACTGCAACAGAATCTCACGATCAACGGAGTTGAACTCCATATGAAGATCAAAGAATACAACTATTATGAGACGTCGAAAAGTACCAATATTTCAGAACCTAGTGAAGGGTAAATGTTTGGTCTGTAAATCGACCTCCAGGTCTGAAGCCAATCTAGTTTCCTCGAGTTCGCTCTTCACGAACTCTAGTTAGGCATAGAAGTATTATTGATGGTTATATTCCAGACATCATATTAGTTAAACTCTGTCATTCTATAGTACTTTTTATGTATAGATGTCAAATATTTCAGTACTATATCAGGTTAATTTCGGTACATCATGTGGTCTGATCTACTTTCTCCAATAATGTATTACTCTTTTGAGTACTTTATTTCACAAGACTAGATTTTACGCATTTATATATGATAGCCATAGTAACTTCTCATCCATCTTAACATTTCAGCTCAGTCGTTACCCAAGAAAGCTGTCTCTCTTGGATAAGTATGAATTATGGGTTGCTGAACCACCGAATCGAATTCACGTGTTCGACATTCGAAAAAACCAGTTCAACTGTGTATATGTAAGCTTTGACTAGTAGTGTCTCAATTATGAACATTACTAATGCACTTTTGTTGGTTTAACCAGGTTCGTTGGGTGGCAAAAATTTAGATTTGTGTGCACATATTGGTTTTGTTCAACTAAAGTTAAATACCTACTTGACCTTCCCGTAATCAGGTTCATTAGAAAATAATATCTTTGGTGGCCTCAAAGCGCCATCAGAGTGTAGTGAAACTATCTATTGACCTACTTTGAGGTCAGGTTTGTAGTGTTAACTTCGGAAAGATTGGAAGTTTGTGAGGTTTTAAACTTCTATCGACCCAGACAACTGTGGAGTGTTATACGATCGTCGACTTGCTGATTCTTCGATACGTCGCAGCTCAAGTAGTTTGAATGAATTTTTTAGGCGATCATATGAATAAGTAATACTGTAAATTGTATGACTTGCGCCAGCTGCATTGTAGGATATACTAAACTCACTGGATAGTCTCCGAAGATAGCTTAATTGCCTGAACAAAAAGTAGCGAATTTTCGCGAAGTTAATTAAATTCTGTCGTCTGTTTTCCCTATTTATGTCGACTATCTTGAATAATTGTATACCAAACGCTACATTACACCAATAAATAGATCAATACAATGGAAGTATTGAGTTCAACTATAATTTTAAATTAATCATGTGTTAGAAAACAAAAACCACATGATATTGGCCATTGTGTTTGATCTTTATCAGCTAGAAATTCAATATGCTACTCCACTGTTCTTGTGCGTATATCACTTACTACTGAATTCTTTAATATTATTTAGACTAACCAACTTTCTGGATGGAATCGTGGTTTCGGCGGCCTCAAGGCTACACTAGGATGTATATTCGCTGCTGGTTTGCATGGTTCTGTGGAAGCATATCATCCAACCAATCCAGTGAAGCCATTGAGTAAACGACCTCTGGCTGAGAAAATTAATGCTCTTCCTACAAGTGTATGTAAAAATCTAATTTTTTATTCCGTATTCCATTTGTAATGTATACTAAAAGATAAATCGACCGACATTTTTGTTTTGTTGCCATCTTATATCTAAAATTTCACGTAAGCTAACGAAAAGTCGACTTCTCAGTTACACAAAGCTTCTGTTACAGTTTTTTCTCAAATGTTAATACAATAATTCGAAGTTTATTAAGTGATATCGATTTATAGCGATTTTGTCACATTTTATGAGTATCTACTTGATTACTCCAAAGTTTTCTTTCGGATGTGAATGTATAGTCTCAATTAAATAGTTTGTGAATGAGTTTAGGTTTTGTCATATATCTTGGTACAACTAATTTAGCATACTCGACTTGGTACTTGCTCATGCTCACGGACGTTCGTCTGTTAGCTACCTAACTTTTTGTTACACACCAAAGTAGCTTAATTCATATTTATTTTGAAACATTACTATTCAACAAATAGAATAAATTGAAGCAGTGTTAATTTTTTATTATATGTTGACATGGTGATACTGTATACCAAAACATCTTCGTTTACCTGATTAGATGTTTCATCACCCAGTCAGTCACAACATAGGACCACGAAAACATATGCATCGGTCCACGTTGCCACACATCATTAACACAGCAAGATTAACACCGGATTAATAGTACTTACTTCAATGGTAGTGATATATATTAGTAGCTTACGAGAATCTTCTACCCTCAATGGTCGCGTTTCGCAGCCGTAAAGTAGAACAGATCGAACTGCTACGCAGTATACTCGTCCCTTAATTGAGAGACGGATATCTCGCCTTCGCCATAGGTGACGTAAGTTGGCAAAAGCCAAGCGAGCTTTTCGAGTCTGTGCAGATTTCGTCGGACATCTACCCATTACGGCTGATCAGACTTCCAAGATAAGCGAAGTTGTCAACGCGTTCGACTACTTCACTCCCTAGCCTTAGTTCAGGTGTTGACACGGACCAGTCCTGAAGCAACAATTCGCAATTAGAGCGAGAGAAACGCATCACAAACCTCCTGGGCATTTTATCAGCGTCTTCACCAAACCGAACTATATCATTGCGTATTCTAAGTCGATAAACGGACCTCCTGGTAGGAGATCAATTCCCGAAAATTCAGTCAACGAGAACATTGTTTCCATCAGTAGGTCTATGATGAAATTGAAAAAAAATGGAGATAGTGGACAGCCTTGACGGACACCACTTGAGGTTGAAAAATCAGATGACAGTTCGCCATAACCTCTGACTAAACTGGTAGTGTTCGAGTAAAGAGCCTTCACAAGGTTTATGCACTTCTTAGCTACACCTTTCAATGACACACACTGCCACAGAACCTCTCGGTCTACAGAGTCAAATGCTGCTTTTAAGTCAAGAAAGACCACCATTGTCGGACGCCGATAAGCATGTCTGTGTTCTCAAACCTGACGAATGGTGAATATGTGGTCGATGCAGCCACGACCATGTCTGAAGCCAGCTTGATTCTCTCGTGTTTGCAGTTCACGAGTCTCAGCTAGGCGCCCGATAATTATCGAGGCTAGTATTTTAGATATTATATTGGTTAGACTAATCCCTCTGTGGTTGTCACAGGATGATTTTAACCCTCTCATATGTATTGGGACAATCAGTGATTGCAACCAGTCGGATGCGATTACGTCCAACTCCCAGATTTTAGCTAAAATATTACTCAGCCTAATTGCTAAAATTGGACTACCACACTTAAAGATCTCTGGAGCCAATCCATCTGGACCAACTGCTCTTCCTCGTTTCAGATTAGCTATAGCCTCTTGAACTTCAGCTAGAGTTGGGGACCCACTTCAATGTTCCATTCAGGCTGTCTGGGAATGTTGAGTAGATGCACAGGGTAGCTGAGGACCAGCTGAACTGTTTCTTAGTGTTCCGCCCACCATTCTAAACGTCTGGGCTGGGAGCAGATAAGAGTGTCGTCTTTTTTCGAGATCGTCTCACTTACACATGACTTTTTAATTCGTTTCTTTTATTAGTCTGAAGAGCTGTCTAGTGTTACCTACAGCCTCTGCCTATTCCATCTTTTTGCTTTCGTTGCCCACCACTGCTCACGGTCGTTCCTTAGACTTTTGGTTAACGTAGATCTGATTTGTTCTCATTCTTCATTGTCTTCAGAGCCTGACGGGATGAGTTTACGAGAATCTATCAGTGCAATAAACCTAGTAGAAATTCATTAGTTTCCCATAACCCTTTGGTTTAAATTACTAATAGATGTTGCTGTTGTTTCCACAGCTGTTTGTATATCTTCCTAAGCAACATCTGGGTCGGCCTCGTTTTCAGGACTACTTAAGTGTGACCTCAGTTGTTCCTGGATTCTACTTTTAGCTTTCTCGTGACTGAGTCCAATTCTAATGGGTCTTCTTAGTGTGGTTTTTCTGCGTCCAGTGCAAAATAAATAGCTACTTCATCCATCGCTACATCTAAATGTTCGGTGGAAGAACATTATAGAGTGCAGACCGCTAACAAGATAACTAAAGCCATGTGAATTTCTAAAGCTACAAAGTAACTATAAGCGAAATTTCTGTTTTTACATAATTAAAACGAACTTAATATGGATGATATCAGTTATTATTAAAATAAAAACCATTGTATTCGAGGAAACTAACCACATGCTTTTCTTTATCATCGTGAAGAGACCACGAACAAAGATTCGAACAGAACATAAATTTACTCTATCTCGTTAGATTTTCGTCAACTGCTTACAACCTATAGTGTTCACAAATCATAATTACAAAATGTATTGGAATTATGTATATGAGTTTGGTTGGAAGTTTTGAACACACATCAGTATACAATAGTAAGGATGTAAAACTTAGGAGATTATATTAAAAAAAAACAAATATATATCTTATGTGGAAGGGCTCTCTACAACGTTTATAGTAACAAAAGACTGAAGAGCTAGAGAAAAGTTATTACACAATGATCGGACACTGATAAAAAGCAAACATAAATTGAGTAAAGCTCAATTGTTTAAATGAAGCTATTGATCGAAAGAGGGTTGCTCCACTGTCGTTTGGATCAGACGTTTAGTCCAAAGGCTCGAAGTAAGGTACCTTCTACGGTTTAGGTACTTGTGCAGTATCCTAGTCCTCACACAAATCAATGATATCCACGACTGGGAAAATTTTTATTGCTTCAACGCTTTTTCAGTCCAATTGTATTCTCAATCATCTGATAACATGCGTTTTTATTTTCTTTGTGCTTCGTCACTTATATACTGCTTTTTATTGTCATTTCGCGCATTTTATTTTTGAACATACCCAGGAACTTGACGTGGGATGCGTACGTTGAAGGCTCTAACGTGTAGTTTGGAGCGGTTTCAGGAAACCTGGGATAGCAATTCGCGCACTAGAATCATTGATTATGATGACACTTGAGGAGGAAGTTTATAGTTGAAAGTCGACCCAGGAGGAATAACAGGAATTGAAGGGGGAGATTGATTATGAATACAGTAATCTCAAGTGCTGCTAGAGATGTTTGAGGGAGGTTTACACTTTCGGTTGCCCACACCGTGGAAGGGTTCTTCTAGAGGCACCTGAAAAGGGAATCGGGTTAGAAGTGGTATTAATGACCTGAGAGTGTGACCGCAGTACCCAAGGGACAACTGTTTGTGGCCGGTCACACACGATTTTGTCGTGAGTAATTTGCATGTTACCTCCGTACGTGTTGGAACCTGACTGCCGGAGACAGAAATCCGTGGGGTAAGGCGGAATGTGCATTTTTAGGATCGACCTTTTATAACCTCACCCACGGTCGGGAGGTGTTTATAACCCTGATTTAATAAATTCTCAAAAAGTCGGATCGTAGGCCGTCATTTTTACTGAAAATTAGTAATTCGTGGTTTCTCAGTTGCAATTCATAAAAAACAATTTTATGGCTATGTAGCTGAGTCTACGAAAATAATCAATCATGTTTTTGTCACATTGTTTCAATCTATTTATCTACTGTTGTTAGGATAATTTACAATTTAGAGTATATGATTTGCCTTTAGTTTACAGACGCTAATTTATTTATTTTCAGTACGATATTGCGATCTCTGTTATTATCTCTTAACTATTTGTTTTAATCGATAAATAAAGTAGCTGTAATCAGTAATGGAATAACTTATGTATCGACTGTCGTCTTGATCTTGTTATTTGCTCGTCAACCTTAAATATTTCCCGTCATGTTTCAGTCTATCCATTGGAATTTCAAATCAGTACAAGGCTGTCCATTATTTTCTTGAACTGCGGTAATTGTTACCAGGATATAGTACTGGATTAAAGCGTGTTCTGTGTTGTATTGTGTTTAGGCACGCTGATTAGCTATTTCTTAATCCATCAGCACTAGTAGATACTTGGAGAATACTCTAGAATCTCCGTGTGTAAAAGTTATAAATATACTATTTTTCTTGTGATTTCTATTTCCATTTATTCTTGTTTACTTGGAATATAATTACGTTCCTGCTCAGCCTTGTCCTGCTTTGGGGACTTGTCGAATGCTTCGGTTTGGGCACCCGGGCAGTATCACAGCCCTCACACATATCGAATCAGATTTGTGTGGCGCATATGTATTTGGTGCCTCGTTGTACCAATATCTATGTGTTAAAATAAATAAAATAAATAAGCTGCGTCGTAATATGAGAATTCATAGCAGTAATATATCCGATATCCTAAAAATAGTAGTCATCCGCGGACCCTCTGATGTTTTCATTTACTCCATATCTCATTAAGTTATTCAATTTCTTTCACAACATCATTTCTTACTAACTGCTGCTACCTTGACGCGGTGGTCGGGCTTGCCTATCGTGATGACCCAACCGAGCTATATTGGCTGGAACACATGTTCCTGCAGGTTCTACCATGCCGGGCATGTCGATTGGTGAACGGTAAGACTAAAAGCAGCAACTCAAGGTCTGAGGGCGAAGTCGTACTGCTGACTGCAGAGAGGTGTGACAGCAGTAAGGTGTTTCCCTCGGACAACCAGCATGACAGCGATGCTGCCTTCCCACAAGGAGGGGTGGGGTTAGAAAAGGTCGACCCTAAAAATGTCACACCTCACCTTACCTCACGGATTTCCGTCTCCGGCGGTAAGGCCCTTTGAAGAACGGAGCTAACACATTAAAAACCTTCCACAAAAAGGTCGTGCGCGACCGGCCTCAAGCAGTTGTCCCTTGGGCTCCAAAGTTGTCAAGACCAACACTAATCCAATTTCCTTTCCAGGTTCCTCAAGAAATACCCTTCCACGGTGTGGGCAGCCGCAAGTGACATCAGCCCTCATACCCGTAACTGCACACGAGACCAAGTTGGTCACATTCAAATCCTTCCTACACCTCCTAATACCTCTCTTATCTCCTCGACTAACCCTCCTCACGTCTCTTTATCACCTCGCACCGCTAGGGCAAACGATTCGAGTACGTGGAAGACTATTCCTGGTCTCCTGAAACCACGCTCTAAACTACACGTAGGAGCTTTTAACGTACGAACACTTTGCCAAATAGGACAGCAGGCTTCCTTAGCTAGGACTTTAGAATCTCGCGCCATCGATGTGTGCTGCGTCTCCGAAACGCGTATACAGGATCCGAGTAGCGTCATTCATTTGACCTCACCATGCCAAAATAAAGAACCGACTCGATTTACGCTTCGTGTATCTGGAAGCCCTGATTCTGCTTCCCGTGGCCTCGCCGGCGTAGGTATAGCATTGAGTCCTAAGGCAGAACTAGCTCTCTTAGAGTGGGTCCCAGTAGACAGTCGTTTGTGCGCTGTCCGACTAAACGGAAGTGTAAGGATTCGAAAAGATAGGGACACTCGTCGTTTCTGCCTATTCTCCCACTGACTGCAGCTCAGATGATGTAAAAGATGAGTTTTACAGAAAGCTTTCGGACCTTCTCCGAAAAGCTAAGCGCTCGGATGTAGTAATAGTGGCCGGTGACTTTAATGCTCAAGTAGGTAAACTAAGCGATAGAGAAAGACACCTAGGTGGATCTTATAGCATCGTGGCTCAAAGAACAGATAATGGCGACCGTCTGTTGCAGCTATGCTCATATAACCGCCTGTTCCTTGCAAATACTAACTTTAAGCATAAGGAAAAACATCTTTTAACATGGCGACAACCTAATTCGTCCCAACGTTGGACCCAAATAGATCACATCGCTATCAGCTACCGATGGAGGGGCTCGTTAGAAGACAGTCGCTCATTCTGGAGCACATGCTTAGATTCAGATCATGCTCTAGTGCGAGCGCGTATTTGCTTGCGTCTTACTGGACGTAGGAAAGATGCTGCAAGTAAACCTCTTAGGGGCCTACTTAATGATAGTCAAGCTAAGAGTATATTTCAGGAACAACTAGGAAAACATTTAGGCAGCCATGTATGTGATGCCCACCCCGATGCAACATGGAATGATATCCGAAAAGCTGTGGAAACAGCAGTGATATCTGCTAGTAAGGTAAACCAGAAGGTTAGGGAGCAACACTGGATCTCAGCAGCATCTATCGCACTGATAGATGTTCGGAAACTCATTCCACCTGGCTCTGAACATAATTAGGAGCGTAGTCAGCTTAAGCGCAAGCTGACAAGAAGTCTACGCAATGATCGCGAACAGTGGTGGGTAGCGAAAGCAAGAGAGATGGAAAAGGCAGCGGCAACAGGTAATAGCAGACAATTGTTCAGACTCGTTAGGGAAACCGGTATTAGGAACCCGATTGTTAGCGAAACAATCTCAGAGAAAGATGAACATATTATACATTCTCAATTCAGGAGATTGGATCGATGGGCAGAACACTACGGATCAGTTCAACTGGCCTTCAGCCACACTTCGGTTTCCCACGATCTCTAGTCAACCTGAATGGCAAGTTAATGTAGGTCCTCCGACTCTTTACTAAGTTGAAAAAGCCATAGGAAATCTGAAACGAGGGAGAGCAGCAGGTCCTGACAGGTTTACTCCTGAGATTTTTAAGTATGGTGGTCCAGTATTAGCAATGAGATTAACCGAGGTCTTAGGTAGAATTTGGGAACTGGACGTAATCCCATCTGACTGGACTCAATCACTGATTGTGCCAGTCTATAAGAAAGGACAAAAGTCCTCTTGTGACAATCACAGAGGAATCAGTTTGACCAATATAGTGTCTAAAATATTAGCTTCAATAATACTTCGACGCCTAACTAAAGCTCGTGAAGAGCAGACTAGAGAAAACCAGGCTGGTTTTCTACCTGGACGTGGTTGTATAGACCAGATATTCACGCTACGTCAGGTTCTAGAACACAGACACACATTCAGACGCCCCGCAATGGTAGTATTTCTCGGACTTAAGGAGGCATTCGACTCTGTTGATCGTGAGGTTCTATGGCAGTGTTTGTCACTGAAAGGAGTACCAAAGAAGTACATTAACCTTATAAAGGCTCTCTACTCGAACACAACTGGTAGAGTGAGAGCTTATGGCGAACTGTCATCAGAATTGATTACCTCAAGTGGTGTTCGTCAGGGCTGTCCACTCTCCCCATTCTTGTTCAACTTTGTCATTGACGTGCTTCTAGAGATAACACTTGCCTCGTCTAAATTTCCAGAGGTTGAACTTCTACCGGGAGTTTCACTTGTTGACTTGGAATATGCTGATGACATAGTTCTATTTGGTGAAGACGCTGACAAAATACCGAGTCTTCTGATACGGGATACGATTTTCTCCCTCGAAATGTAAAATGTTGCATCAGGATTGGGTTACATCGACACCCGAACTAGTGATAGGGAGTGAAGTAGTTGAGTGTGTCGACTGCTTCACTTATCTTGGAAGTCTCATCAGCCCTTGTGGTCTGGTGTGTGACGAAATCTCAGCACGGATACAGAAGGTTCAACTAGCTTCTGCCAACTTGCTTCATTTATGGAGTAGGCAAGATATCCGTCTATCAACTAAAGGACGTGTTTACTGCGCAGCAGTTCGTTCCATCCTACTTTATGGCAGTGAAACATGGCCGGTAAGAGTAGAGGATATTCATAGGTTACTAGTATTTGATCATAGGTGGCACAAGTCCATGAAGTCACTGACAAGTGAACTGAGTCATGTTGGTAGGTGTAAACTACCTGATTGGGGACCGCGAGATGATAGCAACCGATGGTTAGAGACCCTGAATGACATGGCTCAAAATCGTTTGCAATGGCGCAGGTGCATCTACTCTCTGTGTTCTCCCAAATTCTAATCTTCTAAATTCTTCATGTCACTTTTTTCCTCTTTCCAAATTTATTTCACTGTATTATACTCTTTAAATAACATCTCCAAACACTAATTTTCCTGATTACTGCTTATACTCTTATTACCTCTACCACTACGGGATTTGAATCGACAAGTGCATCTCTGTGCTAATGTGGCGTGGCAACTCGAACTGATGTACGTACGTACGAAGTTCTACGTTGTTGCTGACTGACTGACTGATGCTGACTAATGAAACTGCACCCATCGTTCATCTGGGAAATTATCCCTGAATGCAAATGAATAATTGTGTGCTTCCAGAAAATTAAATATTTACATGTGATTGTTTACTAATTTCTCCATCTTCTCATTCAGTTTTTTCTTCTGAATAATACTCATGTTTTATATAATATCAGGTGAAAATGTTATCTTAGCTGAGAGTAAGTTTATGTAGACAATATACAATCTACCAGTAAGTTATTTGTCCTAACTTCGAGGTTTTTCACATCTTTGTTTTATCGTGATTGGTGTAACCCAAACAAGTTAACAGGTCTGTTCATGGCCCTATTGGATCTAGCTTAAAGTAAATTGTTAATGTACTGTACCCAACTCCTTGTTTAAAAAAATCTCAAAGATTGGCACGATTCCCTTCTGATGTCTGTTTCGAAAACAGCCTGTTTAGTGACGATTATAGTGAAATCGTTTAGCAAGCTGTTAGTATATAACAGACTGTCCTTGAGTTGTGGGTGTACGAGAAAATAAGTATCGTCAAGCACAAAAGTGTTTTTTGTTAGTCTTCACCGACCTTTTTTATCTCAGAATTCTCGTTATGTTTTTATTTTAGTAAGCTGACATGTCTTGACCACATTTTTCCATAACTTTGTCCCTTGCTTGTTTCACTTCGAGTATGACATATTTTTAGGTAGTCAAAAATATGTTCTTTACAGTGTTTATTTCCAATTAATGTGAATTCACACAGATTTTTAAAGTTATCTTAGCCTAATCTGAGGACTGCATTTTTAGATGAATTATTCTTTGATAAGATTAAATAATCCAACTAAGATAACTGTTAACACTATGCGGGCAAATGGTAAATGATCATCTAACGTGGTCTTAACTTTGTTGTTTTCTGGAGTACCGAACATATACAATCGATCATGTTTTTAACTATGTGATTTTAAGGAGTTATTAAAAATAAACAATGAATCGTTTCAGACACACTTTAACCTTATGATTTGAATTTACTGCTCTTCAATGATTGTGGAAAAAACTCATTATTAAGTCGCTGTGGTTTCACGGACTGAAAAGCAGATTCTTATTATTAATATGATCAGTTTTCAAACGACCCATAAGTCTTCTCATGAAAACAATTTCTTTTATTCACCTTTTTGCAGCTGGAATATCATAATGATGTTTTGGTGGTTGGTTCTGGGAATGGCTCAATTTATGTTTGGTCTTGTGTAGAGAGAATTAATTCACTGACTACTTCATACTAAGCCACGAATGTTAACGTTAATCGATCAACATGTTTTCTCTTGGAAACTAATATCATTTTTATGTTGAAGAATTTTTAGTGCTTTTATCTTTCATATGCTAATATAAATTTGAGTTTAGTTGTGCAGTAGCATGAGGCGATTTAAACTTTTTATATGGTGAGCACTTTGAATTAGTCTTTTTACAGACAATTTAGAACAACATATGTAAGCGAACAATATTGTTTTCGATTTGATCTTCATCAGGCTTTACTCCAATATACAGTATTATTTATATGTATATACGAAATTACTATCGTATTCCTACCAATTTTCTTTATGGGGTTCGATCTCATCTCTTACAAATTTCAGAAGCTATAGGAATTCGAGCTAACAATTCAAGTCTTTGTATTCATAAGCAATTTGTAACATTTTTGTCTCTCCCTTGGCCTTAAGTGGTTTTATTTGTAATTATTTTCCATACTCTTTGTTCGTTTATTTTTCTTCACCACCTCCCACCTTTTTTATACACGCTTCATTGTTCAATTATCTGAACACTTATTACATAATCTTATAATTTCATGAATATTATTTCAGTGTCTACATTTTTCAATCATTGACCTATTTCTCATTATGAAACTTATTATTCTTAACACAACTAGTACACCTGTTATCACTATCACTTTGTACCTCTTACCTATTATGTATATTTATTACACTGTTGTCATTGCCTCACAAACTACCTTGATTGCTTCAATAATTTCGTATATGCATATAAATATTATTGTATCTTAGAGTAAAACCTGATGACGATCCAATCGAAAACAATATTGTTCGCTTATATACGGCGTCCTAATTTATCATATGGGAATTTTTCAAATATACAATTTACACCTCAAAGTTCTCGTGCTTCTTGAGTATGAGCTGTAAAACATTGGTCAATAGTGAGATGGTGTAGAAGATTTGTAGCTCAGGTGGATGATTTTGGTGGTGTTTTGTTCTCTGAGCTGGATGGTTTGGTCGTGGAGCTTTCATCGTTCTTCTGAACGACATCATCAGCACAAACTTCAGATAGAAGTGAAGTGTTCGAATTTCTCCATATGTGTTTCACAGCTTGTTCTGCGCACCTCGATGTTGATTGGTTCTTGTTGACCTTAAATTTATCATTGTTTACTTCTTTGTTTTGGTTGTGTCTCCCATTGGTTTGATTTTTGTTCTCATATATTCATGCATGATTTTCCTGATTGGTTGATAAATTGGATTGATTTCAATATGTTTGTTGATTGCTGATTGACCTGAGTGCCAAGCTTCTAAAAATTGTCTAGTGTTTTTGGAGTTTCCTCTGTCTAAGATTTCTACATTTTCCCAATCGAATGAATGTCCGTAGTTATCCACGTGTATTGATATAAGTGAAGAGATATCATGGCGTTTGACTGCTAATTGATGTTCGTGTAGGCGTAGGTGGAGGGGGTGTCCGCTTTGTCCGATGTAGTGTTTGTCGCAGTTGGTACAATTTATTTTGTAGATGATGTTTGATTTGTTTTCCTTTGTTATTTCATCTTTTGGTTTGCATAGGATTGATTGTAATGATTTTGTTGGTTTGTGTACCACACCTATCCCGAAGGTTTTCAGCAGTCTCGTTGTGGTTTCTGATATTCCTTGTATGTACGGTAGGGTGATCCTTTTGTTGATTTTTGTGCTTGATTTGGGTTCTGATGCTGTGTGCCGTTGGTGCTTTTTGATGAAGTTGATTGGGTAGCCGTTCTTTTGAAATATGTCCTTCAGGTATTTCTCTTCATTTTCTCGTGCTGCCAGTGTGTTGCAGTGTGTCCTCGCCCTCTTGAACAATGTGTGTACGCAGTTGATTTTGTGAGCTCTTGGGTTGTTGCTGTTGTAATTGAGGATTTGATCTGTATGAGTCGGTTTCCTATATACTCGAGTTTCCAGTTTTCCTGTATCGGTTCTAGTGATCAATATATCCAAGAATGCTAGTTGGTTGTTTGACTCCTGTTCCATTGTAAACTTGATGTCGTTGAAAACGTTGTTGATCAGTTTGTATGTGTTTTCCAGTTCATCCTTTTTGACGATGACAAAGATGTCGTCTACGTAGCGAATCCAAATTTTTGGCTTGATCACTGGTATTATCGTGGCTTCTAGTCTTTGCATCACTGCTTCTGCGATCAGTCCTAATATTGGTGATCCCATTGGTGCCCCTTTTGTTTGTTCGTCGATTTTGTTGTTGAATTGAAAATATGTTGTTAGGCATAAATCGATGAGTTCCAGTATACTTTTAATTTGAAGCGTCGTGTATTTGGTGAGACTTGTGTCGTTGTTGAGTAGCAGGGATATAGTTTCTTTTGCTAGCTGTGGTTCAATTGAGGTGAACAGTGCTGTTACGTCGAAGGATATCATGAGTTCGTCGTTGTTGATTTGAATATCCTTAATTTGGTCCAGGAATTGTGTTGGGGATTTGATGGAGTGTTTGGCTGAATCTACTAGATGTCTCAGTATTCGTGAAATTTCTTTTGACAAATTGTATGTTGGCGTTCCGGGGAGTGCTACTATTGGACGTAGTGGAATGTTTGGTTTGTGTATTTTGGGTCTACCGTAGAATCGAGGGAGTACTGGTCCACTGGATTTCATTCTCCATTGGTCTTGTTTTGTTATTTCTCCTGCTTTGACTAGCTTGTTTAAAGTCTTTGAGATTTGATTGTCTAATTTTTTGACGGGATTTGTGTCCATCAGTTTGTATGTGCTCTTATCTTCGAGCAGTTCTTCGGCTTTGTTGATGTATTCTTCTTTGTCCATGATTACTGTGGTGCGTCCCTTGTCCGCTGGTATTATGATAATATCTTTTCTATTTCTGAGTTCTTTTAAGGCCGAGTTATCGGTACTATAGTTTGCCTTATTTCTTGTTGTGTTTCTTCACTGATTCCGGAAGTTTTGAGTGATGACTCTAGTGTTGCGAAGAACTGTAGCTTTGAGGCGTCGCTTGTATTGTAGTTTAATCCTTTTTGAAGCAGGTGTTCTTCCGTATTTGTTAGTGGTTGTTTTGACAGATCTGTCAACAGGTGAAAGAAAACAACCAACTGACTCCACAAGAACAAAAGGCCTTGAAAGAACTCAGAAATAGAAAAGATTTGGATTCGCTACGTAGACGACACCTTTGTCATCGTCAAAAAGGATGAACTGGAAAACACATACAAACTGATCAACAACGTTTTCAACGACATCAAGTTTACAATGGAACAGGAGTCAAACAACCAACTAGCATTCTTGGATATATTGATCACTAGAACCGATACAGGAAAACTGGAAACTCGAGTATATAGGAAACCGACTCATACAGATCAAATCCTCAATTACAACAGCAACAACCCAAGAGCTCACAAAATCAACTGCGTACACACATTGTTCAAGAGGGCGAGGACACACTGCAACACACTGGCAGCACGAGAAAATGAAGAGAAATACCTGAAGGACATATTTCAAAAGAACGACTACCCAATCAACTTCATCAAAAAGCACCAACGGCACACCGCATCAGAACCCAAATCAAGCACAAAAATCAACAAAAGGATCACCCTACCGTACATACAAGGAATATCAGAAACCATAACGAGACTGCTGAAAACCTTCGGGATAGGTGTGGTACACAAACCAACAAAATCATTACAATCAATCCTATGCAAACCAAAAGATGAAATAACAAAGGAAAACAAATCAAACATCATCTACAAAATAAATTGTACCAACTGCGACAAACACTACATCGGACAAAGCGGACGCCCCCTCCACCTACGCCTACACGAACATCAATTAGCAGTCAAACGCCATGATATCTCTTCACTTATATCAATACACGTGGATAACTACGGACATTCATTCGATTGGGAAAATGTAGAAATCTTAGACAGAGGAAACTCCAAAAACACTAGACAATTTTTAGAAGCTTGGCACTCAGGTCAATCAGCAATCAACAAACATATTGAAATCAATCCAATTTATCAACCAATCAGGAAAATCATGCATGAATATATGAGAACAAAAATCAAACCAATGGGAGACACAACCAAAACAAAGAAGTAAACAATGATAAATTTAAGGTCAACAAGAACCAATCAACATCGAGGTGCGCAGAACAAGCTGTGAAACACATATGGAGAAATTCGAACACTTCACTTCTATCTGAAGTTTGTGCTGATGATGTCGTTCAGAAGAACGATGAAAGCTCCACGACCAAACCATCCAGCTCAGAGAACAAAACACCACCAAAATTGGTCAATAGTGTTTTTCGACTAATTGATTCTGGGTAGTTTGTTACCATCATCAATCCAGTCATTGTTTATATCAAAGAAACCAATTTTTAAAAATATGCTTATTGTACTGTTTCTTTGTTGATCTTTATCTGTCGCCATAAAATCTTCAGCGCGGTTCGCAATATAGTTGCAGGTGATTACTTAGCATATACTTCTCGTTTTCTATTCATAGCATATATAGTTCATATTTCGTTACTTTGTAAAATGTTTGAGAACTGTAGCTATCAATATCTGATGACAAAACACCAGTCAGTCAGTCAGCTACAACGTAGGGCCAGGCACATATATGCTTCGGTCACACTGGATTAGCACAGCAAGATTAACACCCGATTAATCGTACTTACTTCAATGGTAGTGATATATATTAGTACGTAGAAAGATATGAATTGATTTGAATCTCTCAGTTTAAGGGAAGACAAAGACTGTATACACCGACGCCATTGTGATCGATTCTGAGCCACGTCACCCAGTCTTCAACCGCTGGTTACGATATTCGCGTGGACACCAACCAAGTAGTCTACATCTACCAACATGACTCAGACCAGAAGTTAGTGACTTCAAGCGCTGATGTCACGTTTTGCTTTGGCCGCCCCCAACTTTCTTCCAACCATCCCCAACACCGGTTAGCATTGCGCGTCGTGGTAATCGGTATTCAGGCATACGCAACACGTGACCCAACCATCTCAGTCGATGAAGATTCACAAC